AGAATGGACTCCTTAGGTAGAGGGCCCCATAGGTCATCCACTGGGGAAAAGAGGGGATAGTCCTAGAAGTCACAACTGCAGAAGCAGGGTCGGGGTTAGAAATGAGGAGTTAATTAAAATCAGCCTTCGAAGATCATCAGGCTACCTTATTTTCATGTGCATTATTCATATGTTTTAGTAGTTCTCAGTGCAGTGTGCTTCGTGATATATTAGATATTCAATGTAGTTGTTTTCAGGTTTATTATGCAATATTCTTATTATGATTCATGAAAATATTCCATTAAATTGCTCATATAATTACTGTGCTTAATCTACAACATACTTTAGTTAATGTTGCATAGAATTCTGATTTAACCAATTAGATTTGATCAAGTATAACTTAACTGCAAATACTTCCTATGATGAACAGGTCCAAAATAATTATTGAGAGCTAAGGTAGCAGTCAACTCTAACTAAAACTAACAAATTTCCTGTTAAGAAGAGCACATAATAATTTCAACTATAATTTTATCATTTAGAAAGCTAAATTATAAGGAGTAGCTTGTTCTGTTTCTATTAGTAGCCTGTTAAAAAATCTGATTGGGCATGTGAAAACTCAAAAAATATGTTTCATATACCTCAGAATGTGACTCTGGTTGGAAATAGGTTTGTTGCAGATGTAATTAGTTAGAATTATGCCATAGTGAAGTAAGGTGGGACCCTGATCCAGCATAACTGCTACCTTTATAAGAAGCTGGCCATATAAAGACTGAGACACAATGCCATTGGAGACCAGGCAGAAACTGGAGTTATGCAATGGCAAGTGAAGAAATACCAAAGATTTCTGACAAAGCACCAGAAGCTAGAAAGAGGCAGAGAAGGATTCCTCTAAACATTTCAGAAGGAGCATGGCTCTGCTGACATTTTGATGTTGGACTTCTAGTCTGCAAAACTGTGTGACAATAGATTCCTCTTGTTTTAAGCTACCCAATTCGTGGTCCTTTATTTGACAGCCGTAAGAAACTGAACCCTTGATAAATCTGATTAAGTTGAGAATTAAAGCTCAATATAGCCAGAATCCATGAAATTACTTTTATAATAGTGGGGGGAAACATATCTTGCTAAACTATTTTAAAAAATGCATGTACTATTTTGAGTTGAAGAAAATTTTATATTCTGAAGTATTGACATAAACATAACACTTCTGATCCCCACACACAGCACCTAGAAGAGTGCCTCAAACACAAATCATCCCACAGTACATTTTGTGGCTTAGTTTAAAAAGATTTAAAAATGAAAATATCCTATAAATATTAAAATGCCCACTTATAGAACTTGAGCCATAAAATGTATATATACAGTGCTACTGAAATATGAGTGTAATCACTGTAAAGAATTTGCATGAGGTTCATGAAGGCAAAAATTTTATCTCAAATAATAAACTATATTCCATGAAGTTTGTATATTATTCAAATTCTATATTTTGTTACCCTTATTTTGATTTTGAAAAAAAAATAAAAAACACTCTTAGCACCTATGCTATGGGAGATAGGGAAGGACAAATAAAATAAATTTTAGTTCTGGGGGTAGGAAAGATGGTGGAATGAGACAGACATCATTACCCTAGGTACATATATAATTGCATGAATGTTGTGTCCCTACTTTGGGTACAATCAGAGAAATCAAAAGTTGTGTTCCATTTGTGTACAATGAATCAAAGGGCATTCTGCGGTCAAGTATAACTGATTAGAATAAATAAATAAATAAATAAAATTAAAAAAAAACAATAGGGTTTAATAAGGATGGAGGTGAGTAATGTACTGACAAAAGAACTTGGAGAGTTATCTATAAATTCTTTGACTTTTTTCCACCCTGAATACCCAAAAGTTGACTTTTATTTGGTTGTCACAGGGGTGATGTTTGATGGAAAGTCATCAATAGACACCAGCAAAGAATCTGATACAGGTTGCTAACAAACTAGGAACTGTGACATGCTCCTGGCCAAAGTGAAAAGTTTCCTGGCATTGAGGATCCATGAAAGTCACCAGATGACACCAGCTGGTTGATATGCATCTTGTCACATCCTTTGAGAAATAGCATCTTTCCATTCTTGGGAATTTTTAAAAGCCTCCAGCCCTCTGATTTTTGTGGACATTTTGACTTGCCTAGTCTACTGGCAAAAATAAGTATTATAGTACCCACTACCTCCTGACCATTTCTGAATGCATATTACTAGATGGGGTCAAGTGAAGTTTAAATTCTCAGGTGTACTGTTCTTTGGCAGGACCAAGCCTCTGAGATCCATTTCTGCAAATATATCACTGCTACTACAAAATAAATAATAAATAAATTAGGTTGGCAAAACATAGACAAACTAAATATTTTCTGATTGTTTATAATATTTTGGTTTTTGTGCTAGATACTCCTGTACAATCTCATTTAATATTTAAAAAAATTTTAATTTTGGTATTATTGTTATAGAAACAATGTGCATATATTTTACAAACATCAAAAAGATCATTTGGTGAGTAATTAAAAATTTGTTTTTCTAAAATTTTCATTTTTCTTTAAAAGGGATATGCTCTTTAGTATGTGTATTTCCTAATTGAAAGGCTTATGTTAAAATAATAGTTCTCCGTTCTCTCTCTTCTCACTCCCAATTCTCTTTCATTAGGCCCGAAATTTTTGATCTTTTTAGTTCTTTCCTTTCACATTTACTTCCTTATTTCTAAGGTACATTCTTATACAGATATTTCTTGATTTTTCAGCTTTCGAGATTGATTTCCTTCCATGGAAGACAAAGATTTAGCTTTCCTATATAACCTCCTGTCACATGCACTTCATTCTTCCTATCTTTCCTGTACATTTATAACATTATTTTGACTGTGTAAGTATTATTTATAGCTAAGATACATAGCATTACTAGGATTCCATATCTTCTCATATATAATTCTTTATTTTCACCAGTTAAAAACATTTCTTTTGTTTGCTTGGTTTTCTGTGCTTTTATTAGGAATTAATTGCTCAGTTCTCTATGTAAATAAAAATTGCCTCTGAGCATATTTTTCTCCCCATTTCACATTTTATCTTCATATTCACAAAAGTATTTAGTCCTCCTCCTTCTACTCCAAGTTGTTCTAGGCATCTCTTCCTTCATAATCATCTTGATATTTTTCCCCATTCCTTTCTCCTGTGCTGTATTCACCCTATTCTTGGATTCTACATCTTTCTCTTGGTTTGCTCTTTCTTTGTGATAGAGCATATCCTCTAGGAGTTTCCTGAGAAAGGTAAATTATAAAAGACCTCACTTATCCTACAGCCTACCTTCATTTTCCATCAATAGTTTCCTTGGGTATAGATTTGTATGTATGACTTTTTTTCTCAGAACTCTGAAGGCATTTTTCTATCATCATCAAGTTTTGGTGGTGCTTCAAGTTTGGTGGTGCTACTCAAGTCCTCATTCCTTTGTCTGGGGTCTCTTTCTTCCCTCTGGAAGTTTTTAGGCCTATTCCTTTATCCTGGTGGTGTTCATGATACATCTTGGTCAGATAAATCCTCTAAGAGGATTTGCATTTGCTTTTACCAAATGCTTATGCGTATTACCATTCTGGGATTAATCTGCATTAAATTCTTGGCTAGAGGTTTATCAGACTATTTACAAAGTCTGAATCTGGGCCATGAACCTGTGTGAAGGCTGATGTATGGTTCCAAATTCTCAGTGGTGATTTCCCTTGACTCCACTCTTGCCAAAATTTGAAATGGTCAGTTTTCTCTGGGGTCCATTAAAAGGAATATGAAGTACTTTTCTGACATGGAAGGTACAACCCATAGTTCTGGTAGGAAAAGAACATATTCAAGTTCCCAACTTGAAGTGCATTTGGGCTTTGTTCATTCCTCAAAATGCTGAATATCAAGAGTCTGTACTCAGCTGGTTTGACAAATGCTTTTAGGATAACATTGTACCGCTTACTTTTCTAGGTTTCTATCTTCACTCAATGCCTGGCCTGAGATTTCCTTGCTTTATAGTAGGATGATTGTAAGATGATTTAAAAAATTGAATTTTGTCCATAAATTTTAGTTATTTCCAGCAGTCCAGATACTGTTCCTGTCTTCTTCTTAGAAATGAAAGGCTATGTTACCTTTCTAAGCCTTGATTTCCTTATCTGAAATAGGTATTGTGAGAAATGAAATTGTTAGTGTAAAGATCCTAACTCTGTGTCTGACACCTCAATGAATATTTATTCTATTTTTTTTTTGAGTGGCATTCTCAGAGTCTAAACATAAGTTGCTTTATTTTGCTGTGTTTTTATAGATATATGGTACACTAATACCAGGTGAAGAGAAAGCAAATAATCTAAGGTTTTGAAAGATTGTGTGTTTGGTATATTAAAAAAATTGTGTGTTCTTTCCATTTTAAAAATTTCTATTTCAAATGAGAACCAAGTAATTAAATATCATTATTAAACTAGGTCTTACGAGGGCCTGACATTTATTGAAGCTAAAGCCATGATTTATTTGTACATTTCTTGAGACAAAGGAATTTGAAAACATTCCCTGTAATCAAGACTCTAAAGAGACATAAAATGGATGCTTTTTCTTTTGCAATACTGGGGATTGAACCCAGAGTCTCACACATGCTAAGCAAGTGCTCTATCACTGAGATATACTCTCCATCCTTTTTAAGAAAAATTTATTTTGAAACAGATCTTGCTAAGTTTCCCAGCTAGCCTTGAACTTGCAATCCTTCTGCCTCAGCCTCCTTAGTAGCTGGGATTACAAGTATGCACCACCATGCCCAGCTAGATGCTTTTTCTTATAACAAGCTAGGCTATGCCCTAAATTTTACCATTTTGTATTATTACAAAGTATCAAATTGCACTAAGAAAATCCTTTTAAAGTCCATAGTTATGTTCATTCTAAAAGGTTGCCCTTCTCTTTAAAAACAATTTCAACCCAGTGCCAAGCAGCCTTTGGTGAAAATCAGCTCTCTCTTTGGTTGTTGACCTGACCCTGGAGTCCTATCAGGGACACTTTTTTAGCAGGTGCATTGTGATATTCTTCACAGCCAGCATGGTCTCTGTACAGGTAGGTCTGATGAGCATCTCTGGGAGTAAAAATCCAAAATGCCCAGTGTCACGTAGTTCAAAGGCAAATGCATAGGGTATTCCATTTTTGTAAGCCCAATCCATTGAGCTACCAGAACTTACATCTGAAAGTTTAAAAAAAGAAAAGATTATCCTCACTAAAGAATCTGCATAATTTCAAAATTATATATATATTGCTTAGTAAGATATACTAAATCCTTCCAATGAAATACCATTTCTATAAGAATGATTTAACAGTAGTTCTTTGGCATCCAGCTCATGGAGCTTATAAATCATACCTGCTATCAGCTTTGAAGATCTAACCTGAGTATTAATGCTATGCCAGTATGATGACCTCAAAATTTCTCAACCTCAATTCCAATAATGTTTATCTTCACCTTCACTTTATTCACCAATAAAACAACCTACGCTGTGGGCTTTTAAAAAAATATTAAAATTAAAATATTTTTGTTCTTATCACTCAATTCTTCTCTACTTCTAAGGTCTTGAATATTAAAATTCTGTTCCCCTCTTTCATTTCTTCCACTTCCCCTCTTTTTCCAGGCTTGCTGAACTTGTCCCTTGTCTTTACATAAGCTTGTAGTTTTCAGATTCTCCCTGCCTTTCTTGTGGTTTCCATTCAGGGGCAATTTACTAGCTTTCTCACCAGACCCCTCATATGCCTCCTTCCTGTATTTTTTCTGCCTTTGCTTTGCTGTTGTTGAACTTCTGGCCCAGTCCCCCTGCTGTCACTCCAGGTAGGGCAGTGAGATGATTCATCTTTGATGAACAGGTATTCTATAAAATCATACTGCCTGATCACCAAAGTCGTCTTCTGCTCCCAGTGCTGCTCTGTGCTGTTTTTTCATAGTCCTGCACTTACTGGCACTCCCCATTCTCTTCTTGTCCCACCCATCACTTTACCACTGACCCCCATATTCTAGATGATGGCTCCATTGGCTCCTCTGTTGACCTCAGAGCCCTCTAAGCTTTCTCTTAGCTCAGAGAAAGTCATGCTAAATATCTTTTACATGGGTCATCTCTTGATACCATTTATTATTATTGTCTGTATAAAGGGAGGATCCCTTTGTTTCATTCACACATTTTCTTTCTCTTGCATCTGCATCAACCCAAATAAATGCTCAAGGACCCCTTTCTTCTCATGATCCTGCTATATACTCTTGGTTACCATCCTCTTTTTCTTCTTCTTCTTCTTTTTTTTTTGTGCTTGATAACTTAAAAGAAAATCTATATATGTTGCGTCTAATCCTTATATCTTTCTTGCTGGTTCTTGCTTCTATCCACCTATAAAACTTCATTTATTTTTTAAACTTTTATTTATTTTTATGTGGTGATGAGGATCAAACCCAGAGCCTCACACATTTAAGGCAGGCATTCTACCCCTGAGCCACAACCCCAGCTCCCAAACTTTATTCTTGAAGGGTGATCATGTCCACATGTTTATTCTCCTTTTTTGGTTTTTGTTTTCCCCTTAACATAGCTGACAATCCATCCTGGCATCCCTCTCCTTCTAGTTCCTATGACCTCACACATTCCACCATTTTAGTATGGACTGGAAATACAGGCACTAAAGAGAAGACCACCAACCTGCACTGTGTCCAGTCCTACTACCTACCTTGTGATTACTCTGTGCCTCAGGTGCCTTTTAGAAAAAGGGAATGATGCTAATGTCTGCTACTTAAGGTTGATGTGGTAATTAAATGAAATACTAAATCACTTGAAAGTGCTTATGAAATATTAGCTATTATTATTTTACATCTTTACATCCCAGTGCCTAATACATAGTGTTTAGTCCAATAGACTCTTCAATAATCATTTATTAAATTAAAAAATGTTTTATGGAAAAATATTCATATACTTTTTTCCTGAAATACATATGATTCAGTTTGCTATAACACTATTATTATTATCATCAAATTTCCAAAACATGTTCATTTACTCAAACAGCATTACATTTATGCTATTTTTCTCAGGACAAGTGAGGATGAAATCATTATGTGAAGATGACAACTAAATGGATCGGCTATTTCTCAAATTCCTTGTGCTTCTATCAAGGACAGAAGATAAACTGTGGCTTTAGTGTCCTCTGGTTAGAGTACATTGGAACTACAAACAGTAGTCATATTAGCCAAAGTCAGAGACAATATGTGCCAACAGTTACATCATGGTGATGTGACAGCCTCATTTCTATGGCAACAGATTGTTCTTGGTAAATATAACACTATGACTGTGCCTTTATTCCAAGCTGACAAGGTGAACTGTTAATAAGATTTGTTTTAAAAAATTAATGTTTTAATTATGTTATTATATGTATTATGTTGATATTAGTTGGTAATGTGAATTTTAAAAAAATATTATTTTCCCCCTTTCAGGATAATGATTGGAAAACACTTATAAAATGATCTCAAAAAAATCTATTAATGCTTGTGTCATTGTTAGGACAAGCTTATTTGATAAGCAATGCTAATTGACAAACCAAGCTGTTGTTCTGAAGGCTGAAGAAACCGAGGGGCAAGATGTTAATGACGGGCAGATTAAAAGACATCAAGAAGAAATTTGCTGCCTTACTGAGGAGCATCACCAAATGCTACTATCTGTACACATCCCTACTGCATGTGTTTGCCATCATAGGCACACGAAGACATTCAGCTCTATGTGATTCTCATCTGTCATAGAGTCAATAAATTTTAGAATTTGAAAGGCCATGAGAAATGATCAAGTCTCATTCTTCATGTTACTGTTGTAGAAGCTGAAGCCCAGCATTAATAAATATCTTGGCCAGGATGACACACCTGGAAGATTTAGGACTAGAATCCACATCTTACAGTTCTTTGTTCTGGTTCTTCCCATATACCCGGTTGCTTTTTGCTTCATAGAAGAGAGGAAATACTTTAAAATCACTTTTAAAAGGAGAATTCAGCTAAGATGCTATATAGGAAATAGTATTTCAGAACAAGAATAGTGAAGGAAACGAAAAAAGGGGAAACTGTTGTAAGCTGGAATTCTTACTTCATTATCTTCATGAGGCCCATTTCCACCCTTACGGTAGTCGTAATTGCTTAAGGAGCCTGTTTTGGTACTTGCTACTATCATAAGATCTCAATTCAACTTGCAGTCATTACTGCATGTTTAGCATATTCTCTGCTTAGGATTTGTTTAAATTGGTACAGCGATTTCTGTCAAGCTGTGTAAAACTAATCAGATATAAACTCTCTCCATTTTCCTTGGCTAATTTGATAGTCACAAATTTCACTCTAGAGAGAATACACTCTCTGCTTTTTAAAGAGAAGTCATGATACAGGATATTGGTTCAAGAGAGGTGATTTTAATACAAGTACACAGGAAACTTACACAATGTTCTGGAGGCAGGCCCATATCTGTACCGTACTCCATATACTGATCGAAGTGCTTTCACTGCTTTATAAGCTGCAGATTCCTAGGAGGGGAAATGAAGAAGTTATAACACTTACATTGTTACACTGAAACTTCTAGAAACACTGGCATGTTTCTTAAGGCTTCTGGGCCACCAACACAAAGAATAACGATGGGTACATCAGTTATTATTAATATTTAATAATATTATATTGTTCATGTCACAAGATACATGTCACAAGATACATTTGCAACATATTTTAGAACACATCATTTCACCTGATTGATTTCACAACCAACTAGAGATCGATAGTATTTCTATTTTACAGATGAGAAAAGGAAGGCTCAGTGAAATTACACGTGTAAGCTAAAGTTACATAGCAAGTGGAGCTAGGATAAGTACCCATATTTTCTGAGCTGATGTAGTGTCCTTTCCTCTTTCCTTTTGTTCAGGGACATCTCTTCCTATAAATTACAAAATGTTTGACAGAGGAAGGATAATGTCAGTCTTAATCATAGATCATATCCGATCCTTCACAATGTGCTTGTGTATAACAGATGCTTAATCAATATTTCTCATATGAATGTTGAATAAGCATAAGTCTGCAAGAGTATTTAGACAACTATATTGATTCTTAAGCATATATTTCAGTGGATATGTACAAGGTATTTAAAGCACATCTGGATCAATTAGGAAACCATCAAGCAAGAAAGACCTCTCTTACGCGATGTGTTTATCCTTACTGGGATGAGAACATCAATTTCAGAGTGCTTCATGACTTCTAAGGTTACTCAGACTCTCACAGGCTTAGTCAGGTACTGCTATGATGCAGAAATTCTAAGGTGGAACTCTTCCTAGTCGGGAAAAAATACTCAACCCAATCAAAATCCTAAAAGGTGGATATTCAAACACAAGTGAGACTGATATTGAATGTCCTTGAAAACATTTTCAAATGATATAAAAGCACTAATTTCAACCAGGAGTTAGGAAAGTATTGTATGACAAGTGAGAGGAAAAGAAGCATGTTGAAACCAGTACAAAACTCTCCTGTTTCAATTTGCCTATGAATAATTTAATATTTTAATTGAAGAACTCTGGATAACATGGTGGTGTGTTTTGGACTGAGCTTCAGGTTGCTGTCCTCATTCAGCTCAGGGATGAATAAAGCAGTATTTGCAGTAAATGCCACCCTTTGTGGATATTCAGGGACCAGGCTTCAGGAGCTGGCAGACTATATATTATTGATCTCACTGATGATGACATTCTTCTCATAGGAGCCAACAGAAAAGGAATGCAAACACCATAATGAGGTATCTTTATGGAGAATGTTCTAAGATTTTAACATCTCCAGTGATCTTAGCAATATTCCATGGCAAGAGCAGATATTTTTACATTTAGAAAATTACTGCATTTTCCTGGTCAGGAGACTTTTGTTCCTCATTATTTCAGATGACTAAACCCATGGAAAACATCTATTACAGAAAGAGAGAGAGAGAGAGAGAGAGAGAGAGAGAGAGAGAGAGAGAGAGA